TAACTTATTTGTACTCATGAAATTACAGAAGCGCGGAACTCATTTGTATGTTACATGTAATTTACAAAAAGGTTACAGGAGGGGAGGGTTATAGAAGGGATAACCCTGATATAACCCCCATGTACCCCCTGAATAACCCCTGGACGTATGCAGATATTTTCCTCCTCCGACGCACATTCGCCTTCCTCTTCATCATTTGTAATGCTCTTAGTGGATGCCCCTCGAGCTTTGCCAATACTCTGTTCCTCTCCTCCAAGTACTGGTCAGCACTGGATACCAGTGTGACGCTATGCCTATAGTGTATTAGGTGAGGTAAATCCCGTCTATACAAAATCTTGAAAGAGGTGGTATGTGTTTCAGTGTGGTATAAAATATTATACCAATATTTTACCAACTTAATCCACCTGACCCGCAGTCATGACATATTAGACACAAAACAATGCAAATGTCTCCACACTCTTGTTGACCACATTCATCTGGTCATCGATCTGGGGGTGATATGTGATGCTCCTTTTAAGGGTTGTTCATTGTAATCTGAACAGCTCCATCCAAAAGTGGTTGAGGAACAACTTGTCCCTATCAGATATAATAGATAAAGTGGTTGAGGAACAACTTGTCCCTATCAGATATAATAGATAAAGTGGTTGAGGAACAACTTGTCCCTATCAGATATAATAGATTCTGGTACTCCGAGCAAGTGAACCACTTCCCATATGAACACCATCGTCACCGAGACCACCGTGTAGGAGTGTTGTAATAGGATGAACTGTGCATACTGGCTCAAAAGGTCCACGACCACCAAAATCATTGCAAACCTTCTGATCGATACAAACCCCTCTATAAAATCTATGATCACTTCTACTCAAAACTTCTCTGATAAGGCTAGGTACAGTAGCGACCCTCTTGATGCCATGATCATGTATTTGTGTCGTTGGCACAGATTGCACCACGCCACCACGTATTCTACATCTCTATGCATTCTCACCCAGTAAAGCTCTATCGATAGACACTATAGGTCTTCTATACATTGGAATGTGTCTCAATTGCAATGTCATGAAACTCCTTCAACAATCTAGGAATCTACTCCGATGTCATCGGTAACACGAACCGATCCTGATAGAGTAGCTCCCCCCCTTTCAATGCATATTATGGGTGACTGTTTGGAATATGTAGCAACCCTGCCCGCATTTTCCTCAGCCCTTCATCTTGCTCGCTCTCCCATCTCTTTGCCTCCATATCGAGGACCAAGGGTACTGAGAAGACTGTCAACTAAAGCTCCTCTCCCTTCCTCGACAGAGCATCGACGGCTTTATTCTCCAGCCCTTTCTGGTACTGAATCTCAAATTCATATCCCAGCAACTGGGATAGCAACTCCACCAAGAAGCCCATCTCTTCTACCCGTATCGACTAGATTATGGTTTTTGATAAGCTAGCATCTTCTCTCAGCATCACCATCCTACCTTCCATTTGGATCCATCATCAGGGATTTTCAGTCCACCTTCATCTCTCCAAGCATCTCTAGCCACTTAATCCCCAGAATCACATTTGTACTGCCCAAGTACAAGGGAAGGAAGTCTTCCACCACCTGTAAGTCATGTAGTGTCAGAGCCAACCCTTTAAATTTCTTGACTTTTCTCCACCTTCCCTGCACCCATCATAACGTTGAAGCTCTCTGTAGTCATCGGCTCCAACCTTAAATGATCCATGATCTTATTTAAGATAAAGTGATGCGTGGCCCCATTATAGACCAACATCACAATTTATTGTTCCCCGATCCGCCCCCACTTTCATGGCGTAATTCAGAACAAATCTCACTATTGCACTGATGGGCATAAACCTTTTGCTCTTTTATCCTACACTTATGCATCAGTGAAGTGCTTGAAATTTTCCCCGGGACGAGTCTTCCTATTATTTCCGTTTAGCGTCTCTTTCTGAAATGACACTGTCTCGGTCCTCGATGTCGTGGTTGTCGAGGCACTCCTATAAAATTATGTTTTGTTGTCTTCTTTGGTGGCCTTCTTCACTTGTTTCTTGTATTCCATCATCTGGACGAGCCCCATCATTTTCCCTCATTCACGCGGTCTCAATGGTTGTATGGCCGCTCGAATGTTGGGCTTCAAGCCCTTAAGTTCTCTCCAGTTCTGCTGCAGAAATACCCTTCAATTACCCTGCAAGAGCTCAAGTTCTCCTTGTATTCCGTAAACTTCTCCTCCTGAGTCAGAGCATAGAATCGCTCGTGTGGATTTCCTTTTCGAATGACTTAAAAACGCTCCAACAAAAAATCCTTAAAGTCCTCCCACAAATGCATCGAATACCTTGCCTCCATTCACTGAAACCACGCTAGAGTCATTCCCTCCAAACATAATCCTGCCAACATGAGCTTCTCTTTCTTAATCAACCCATTAATTGTAATGTATCGCTCCACCCAAAACAACCACCCATGTGCACCTTCACTTTGAAGATCGTCATCTTCAATTTTTTTGACCCTTGCATCTTCTTCACCCCAACTTCCTCTTCCTCTATTATTTCCCCCATGTGTCTAGGATGAGGGGTGAAACTCCCTCCTCCAATCATGGTTATACCGTACTCCTGAATCCCTCTGTCCTACTTTGTGCCCCCTGCACTATCCCTCCTCCGGACATAGCCACACCACTCTGGAATCCCTCTGTCCTCCATTCTCTTTGTGCTATTTCCCCCTTGCATTTTCGAGTCAACTTGCACTAGTTATACGTGATCAATGGCCTTGTGAGTCACGCTTGGGCACTGGGATCGCCCACAGTATCCTGAGACTAGGCCGGCTGGCTTAAACCGGCACCAGCTGGTTTGGCTTAAGCTGGCTAGTCCGAACCGGCCCTTCTTGAACTGGTTCCTCAGTAGGGGAGGGCTCATGCATATCATATTTTTGATGTAATAAGAAACATTTGAATATAAAACAAAATTTAGGTGATAGATACGTAAATACATAAAAATTGGGTGGTATGTATGCAAATGCCATTATAATAGAATGATGTAAATTGGAGCGGATTTTTGTTTATGGACCCATGAAAATTTCTTATATAAAATATTTATCATTAGAAAAGTTCACAAACCCATGACCACAATGCCCCCGCAGCCCATATGCCATTGCCTACCGCAAAAATCCTATAAGTTGGAATTATAAAAGTTTATTTGATTTCTTCTCCATTTCTTTGATCCACAATAACAATAATCTAGCATTTTAAGTGTGAAAAAGTGACTTTGATACAATTGAACAACAAACCACCATCACCTCAGCCATCCCACTCAAATCATCATCCCACCGTGCCCAAATCCTTAGTATTTTTGTTTATAGTTGAGTTAGGAAAGGGTGGCTTAATCCCCATTCCATTGCATTAAACCACGGAAGTCCTAACTATCCATATTGGGAATTGAAGAATGGCTAAAACCTAGCAATATGAACTTTCTAACATGAATTATTTTACTTGACGGTCAGAAGAATATTTAATGAATAATGCCTGAGCAAACTGGGAAACAAGTAATATTTTAATAAATGAAAGCAACTCCATATATATATATATATATATGATAGATAGATAGATGGATACAGTTTTTTTTAACCTTTTTATTCATTTGTCCATTTCATAAATTATTTATTTAGCACAAAGAAATAAATTATAGAACAAAATTACCTTGACAGTCTGGTCATCGTACATAACCCAATGTTCATGTTCATAAGCAAAGCAATGATAATGTTGCCCATAATAGCACACCTAAACAATGAAGAAACATTAATAGTATCAAGTTGACATCAAACCTAAAGGAGTCAACAAAATGGCTTGGCTACGAATAAAATATGGCCTGATCAAAATCATTGGCGTTGAGCAGTTGCTCCCACATAAAGCATACTGCACAACATAATATATAGGCAATATATTGCATTATTATTATTCAACAATAGTCCAATTTTCTAGTGTATAATTGAACTAAGCAAATGCAAGACAAGCATTCTAATGCATCTGTCAGTGCCTTCAACTTATGACAGTATCTTTCTATTTTTTTTATTTTTTTGGTATAAGGAGAAACTTTCTCAATGAATGCACTAAAATGCTATTTTATTTCGATAAGATGAGCTTGTACTTGCATAAATGATTTATAATTTATGAATCACTGATCAAATGGGTAAGTGATGAAATAATGCTTTTATCCCTTCAACTACTCATAGGAGGTTGAAAGCCAAATTACAAATAATAATAATAATGATGATGATGATAATGAAGATGATGATGATGATTAATCACACAAAGACAAGTGTATAAAACAATTAGAGGTAGAACACCAAGGATAGAAATTAAATCCTTAATATTTTATTTCCAACTGCAGGACGGAAAACTGAACAAAGAAAGAAAGGCATCACAAGAAATAACACAAGTTCACAATAAATCGAAGAACAAGCAATCCTCCACACAAAAACAAGCAGCCATTACTTCCATATAATCACAAGACCTTTATTTGAAAACAACTGAAAGGTGAAAAGAGTCGAGGCCCATTGGTTTAAACCCCATACTTCATGATTTACTGCTCATCATTTTCCAACAAAAGAAAAAGGTTGAATATAAACATAATTTCTGTGAACAATATGAATATTAATGCAATTTCTGGAAAAAAAAAAATTTTGTGTGTGATACGCCAAAGGAAACATTCTGAACAGGCGCAAAAATTCAGACCATCAGAATTCCAGAAAGGGATGACTAAAAATTAGTGCAATTACTGTAATTTTAAAGAGCACCAATTGGAAGGATGGTCATCAGATTTCCGGAAATGCATTGTTGCATATTAATGCAACTCAGGGAATTTGTAGGCATCATTTGAAGGTTAAGTTGAATCCTGAAATTTCTTTCAGGATTTGCATGGTGCCCCTCAAGCTCAAATATATACTAATCATTTTTAACTTAGAAATCAAGTAAACGAACTGATCTTTACTAAAAGCTTATGTGAGAATGTCGTATTTTAAATTAGTTGAAATGTAACCTTGATAATCCATTACCCAGTTTTATTTAACCTATCACAATCAACCTGTGGAAGTCAATTTCTTAACAATGCTAAGAACGGTTTGATTATTCACAACGCATCATCATTACATTTGTAGTAGTGTGATGGAAAAACTTCCTTTCTTTTTATTCACAATTGAAAATATATTGCACATTTCTGCACACAACTTTCTAGATTAAAAACAACTCTAATATAGAAAAGATCCTTTAATTAGATCTTCTATAATTGGTTGCCTAATATCAACTTTCCTCATATACAGGTTTTCTAATATACAAGATTCATATTTCCGACTTTCCATGACACCCTAGCTCAAGCTGGAGCATAGATATTTATCATGTCCAACTTGTTACAAATAAAAGTGACGCTAGCTCCATTAAAGACCTTTGAGAATTTTATCCACTAATTGTTTCCCGGTCTTCACATGAGCTATAGAAATTAAATTTTGTTGAGTATTTTCACAAGCAAAATGACAATTTATCTCAATATGCTTAATTCGTTCATGAAAGACAAGATTTAAGGTAACATGGATTGCAACTTGTTTATCACATCACAACCTTGCTGGCTTTCATCATAAAACCTATCTCGATAGGAGTTGAGATACCCACATCAATTCACTAGAAGTTTTGTCATCGCTCGATACTCAGATTCAACACTGGATCGTAACAATACATTTTATTTCTTATTCTTCCATATGACGAAATTACAATTAACAATGATGCAATATTCAACAATGGATCTTCGATCGATCTTGGAACTTGCCCAATCTCCATCAGAAAAACATTCAATATTTTTATGCCTATGATTATGATATAAAATACTTTGTCCAGGAGTTCTCTTAAGGTAGCATAGTATCTATTTTACAACTGATCAACGATGGACTTTAGGGGAAGACATAAATTGACGTGTAGTATTAACTAAATACGCAATGTCGAAAAGAGTTACTGTAAGGTAGTTTAATTTTTTCACCAACTTCTATACCGCTCAATATCACTAAAAGTTCACCATCCTTGGTAGGTTTTTGAATATCAAGCATCAGGATACTGCATGGTTTGACTCCTAAATTTTCAGTTTCGGCTTACAAATACAACACATACTTCTATTGAGATAGAAAAATATCCTTCTTGCTCCATAATACCTCGATCCCCATGAAGTACTTCAAAGAACTCATATCTTTAGTGGTGAATTGATTTTGAAGAAATGATTTCAAAGATAAAATTTTCTGCACACCACTTCCAATAATAATAATGTAATCAACATAAACCACGAATAGAATGATTCTTGAAACAAATTGCTTATAGAATGCAATATGATCACTTCTGCATTTCTACATCCCAAATCCTTCTGAGCTAAATTTTTCAAATTATGCTCGAGGGCATTGCTTCAATCCATATAAAAACTTCTGAAGATAACATACTTTCCAAAACTCCCCCTAAGCAACAAACCAGGTGGTTGCTTCATGTATACCTCTTCCAAAAGATCATACTGCAGAAAAGCATTCTTATATCAAGCTGGTGCATGTGCCAATTATTCATTGCAACCCAGGGTGGGAGTAAGTGAACCAAAGTCAACTTAACTATCTAAGAGAATGTGTCCCAGTAGTCGATCCCATAAATTTGAACATAGCCCTTAACAACCAACCGAGCTTTGAGATGAGCTACGAATCCAACAGACTGAAACTTAATTGCAAAGACCCACGTATATCAAACAGCCTTCTTGCCAAAAGGCAATGCAACTAGTTCTAAATTTCTATTTTCAATTAAGACATTCAACTCATCAAACATTTCTCTCGCCACCCAGAAAAAAATAGGGCTTGTTGAACTGATCCTGGTACCTCAACCGAGTAAAAAAAAAAAGCAATATACGAACAAGAACTAAAAGATAATTGATTATAATTAACACAAAAGGAAATGGGATAGGTGCATTGATGTTTTCCTCTTCGAAGAGAAATCAAGGTCTTTGGGAGGAGGAACCGCGGAGGAAAATAATATTAATTCCAAACTAGGATCAGAGGAATGAGGACTTCTCGAGTAAGTATTAGTGATGATTGTCTAGGTTGAGGCACTGGAGGTGGAGGTGGAGGTGAAGGTGGAGCAGGATCTAAATGTATGATGTAACACATTAACAACTCATCAGAATCATGTGATGAGAATTTAGGCACCGAATTTAGGCACCGATGAATCACCCAAAAAAAAAAGATTTGCTCATGAAATATTTTCATAATTAATCAATCGAAAAAAAAAAGTTGACCGACAACATCAGAATGAACCAGCTCAAAACTACGACCTTTTTATTAACTCTAGGAACAAAATACAAACGATGGTGTTTAATAAATTAACATGACTCACAATCTAAAGATGATAATTATTAAAACAGAGGATACACCTTCAACATTGATAGTGATAGCCCCCCATTCCCCCTCCCGTGAATCTTGTCCTTTTATTGATAATCATCTTCGTCACAAGATCCTGACAATGATCAGGGAAGCATAGGATACAACAATCAAGAACACATGTAATCTTGCTAACATAGACAAGATTAAAAAAAATTGAGGCAAACTCAGGAGATGTTAATAGTAGCATAGGTGTAACATTAATGGCGCCATAACTAAACAGATTAAAAATCTATCCATCTGCTAAGGTGACAAAAATAAGATTTGTATGAAATATCTATCATGTGATCTATGACGCCAAAATAAATAACTCATTATGTAGAAGAGGAAAGAAAACAAGTATGATTACTTGACTCAACAAAGGGCGGTGATAGATTGAAATTGCTTGGATGCTTCCTAAAATTGCATGAATTAAGCATATTCATCTACAAAAATCAAGAGAGCCAGACTATGATCTAGAAACCTTCAATTTAAGAGATCAACTTCTGACATGTTTTCTTCGTATGACCAATTTCACGGTAGTAGTAGCAAACTACCCTTGAACCGTGATTTCCATAATTCGAAGTTCTTCTTCCATAATTGTCTTGAGACTAAGATTTATAGATGTCTGTATTTTTTCAGCTAACAAGAGCACTAGGTGGTTGTACGGATGAAGCCCGAGAACCCGAACTAATACGCAACACCCAAGTTAGGCTTCTCTCAAAGGAATAACTATTGAGTAATACAGAATCCATGATTTAACACTTTCATACTGCAAGTTGAGGCCAGCTAAAAACTAATAATAATCATTTGTTTTCTTCGAGTCTCTTTTTATTAACTCTAGGAACAAAATACAAACGATGATGTTTAATAAATTAACATGACTCACAATCAAAAGATGATAATTATTAAAACAGAGGGTACACCTTCAACATTGATAGTGATAGCCCCCCATCCCCCCTCCCGTGAATCTTGTCCTTTTATTGATAATCTTCTTCGTCACAAGATCCTGACAATGATCAGGGAAGCATAGGATACAACAATCAAGAACACATGTAATCTTGCTAACATAGACAAGATTAAAAAAAATTGAGGCAAACTCAGGAGATGTTAATAGTAGCATAGGTGTAACATTAATGGCGCCATAACTAAACAGATTAAAAATCTATCCATCTGCTAAGGTGACAAAAATAAGATTTGTATGAAATATCTGTCATGTGATCTATGACACCAAAATAAATAACTCATTATGTAGAAGAGGAAATAAAACAAGTATGATTACTTCACTCAACAAAGGGCGGTGATAGATTGAAATTGCTTGGATGCTTCCTAAAATTGCATGAATTAAGCATA